CATGTACTAACATGATTTTGTATCGCCTCCCTTTGTATCACTCTGCTTGTTTATATGCCTCCACCCCCATAACTGCCTCCATCCTCCAACCCTCGCTTTAGCAGTTTATTTGCTTTGACTTTCTTGCATGAACGACGCAGAAACCGCCAATATCTCCCCCTTCCCTTGTTTGTCCTCTCCCCACTCTCCTCCCCTTCCTCCCCTCTCTTTTTTTTCTCCCTCCCCCCGAATAGGCTTGTACGAAGGAACCCGCCTGTCGGACGGTCAGAAGGGCTGGTTCCCCGTAGCGAATGTCATCGAGATCACAAACGAACACGTGAGGAGGAGGAACCTCCGGGAGCGCTACAGAGTCATGCAAGCAGCGACTTTGGTTGCAAACAGCAAGACCCGCACCCTTCAGTAGATGTTTACAGTAAATGACGTGGACACTTTTGAGAAAGACAGTTACTCAGGGACTGTGCCACGTGAGCTGCCAGTTTCTAGCAAACAGGAAACGAAAGGTAAAAGCAGAAGGGCGACCACGACGAGACGGCGGACACACACTCGAGCTGCTGCAGCATGTGCTACTTCAGCAGAAGAAACAGAAAGTATGTGACAGCAGAGGATTAGCTTACATATCTCCCTAACTGCAAGGATCCACCTCTTCCTGCTTTCCGTGCAGCCCCACGCCAACACCTCTTCACAGACTGCTGTGCCAAACTCACATGCCAGTCATTCATGGCATTGCTCAGACGCTCGTACGCTCAGACAGGAGCTGGGTGTTGGCTGGAAACATTGTTTAGTTGTCAATACACAAACAATGCCCTGTTTTTTAGTGCTATGTGACACTTGGTTGGCCGGATTAGAGAACAGAAGGAGTCTTAAAAAAAAACACAAAAACCCCAAATGCATCTCAGCTGAAAGATGTTAACGTTTTAAAATTTCACCAGAAAACAGACATAAAATCAGGAAGTGCCTTTTAATTGAAAACAGAAGTACACAATTGTGAAGTACGGGGTTTATGCTTTCAGCATGTGCAAACTGTGCTTGAACTTTATGTTTTTTATGTTTTTAGTAGTTGTGCTTTTGACTAGCTTGTTAGCTTGTCAGTACCCACTGTGGAGTGGTGCTGTAGCTCCCCCTGCAGGGCATCAGGAAATGGGGTCTGGTCTGTATAGTATGTTGTAAATTACAACAGGGTGATTCTCCTTCAGGACATATTTTAATAAAAACCTTTTGTCTTTTTAACTGGCTCTTTGTTTCTCAGTAACATTTACTGAACATTATAAAGTTCTCGTCTGTCAGAGGAACCTGTGCAAAATCAAAAAATGGGTAAAGTGCAAATACAATGCTCAAACACAAGAGCCGAGAACAGAAATATTGAGCACAGTCACTGTGTGATATCAACATCCATAAGGCTCAGGAGCACGTCCACAGCATCGCCCTCCAAATCTGAGAGCCTCTGTTCCTTTGCTTCGATAAACCCTTCAAAGACGCTCACTGTGCTCTTGATCACTGGGGATGTCTTCAGGGGAAAGGCGCTACTTCCCAATGCAAGTGGAGCTTCAGCTTCCTGGTGTGTTTGAGGGCTTGGGCATAGCAGAGGACCAGGAGGAGTGTTTGCAGTTTCATTTCGGTTTTGGGCCTTCAACAAGTCAACATAATTTATTTTTAATTGACTCGAGAGAGTGTCAGCGACTTCAAGCTCTGCATCTGACCAAACCGTTCCCTCTATCAGTGCACCACGAGCAGGTTTGTACCCCTCCTCACCATCCTTAGCACAAGGATGACAGAGGTTTGAGTCGTCGTCCATTTGGTAGTGCAGTTTCAGCAGGTTAGTAACGGCCTGGTCCTCTTCCTGTGTAAGCTGGAGGACAACCTGCCTTGGCTGCACCTGAGGGTGAATGGTTTGTGTTCTCCAAGTGGGGCTACCCAGATCTCTAGTGGGGTGTGGTCCTGATCTGAATGGGTCTGGGCGGTTTGGTGGGGCCAGGCAGGCGGACATGATGGGTCGTGGCGTGTTGAGCTGCAAGCAATCAAATACCTGAGAGAAATGAGATGAAAGAAAGAACAGCTGTGTGTCGCTCCGAAAACAACACATTTGTTCCCATTTCTTTTGCACCTTTCACTGAATCAAGTAGCGATAACTCGGACAAGCATCAAATAGTATTTTGGCACCAGGGTGTCCTTAAAAGACATTAACGAAAATTAGCAAGTGGAGCATGAAATAGCAAGAGTCAGGCCTAAAAAAGCTATCTACAGCAGATGAACAATATCTGAACCTCGCGTCTTTAAGAATCAGGCGAAAAACATCCAACAAAGACCTAACACACATCTACTGTTCACTGAAGCATCATCAGAAATGGCCTAAGTGAAAGGCTGGCTGTCAAGAAGCCATTCATAATAAAGAGAAACAGGGATAAAACAGAAGAACTGCACTGATGGAGGGATGAATCCAAATGTGAAACTTTCAGTTCAAATTGTTAATAATGTGAGGAGAGAGGTACGACAATAAGTGTCTACAGCCATTTGTAAAACATGGTGGAAGCCTGTCATGCAGTCGCATCACAATACACCAACACAAAAACTGACTGAACGACTCAAAGAGCAACTAAAAGAAAACACAATTATCATGAAGCGTTTGATGTGTGCATTTTTCTATGTGGCCTAAATGAACACTCTGCTATTAAAACGCTGACACACTGGACTCTTTCCTGTAACCACACAGCGATTATGAAATCTGATTTATATGATAAGTTAATTTCCACAGGATGGTACTTCAGTTTGTGGATGCATTGAGTAGAGGACGATGGGTAAACACAGGTGGAGGCAAAATGTAGTTTACAAAAGACCAACAATATTTTTTAAAGTTATTTGAGAGTGAAGTCTTGATGACAGACTCTGACAGAGCATTTAGTTATGCTTAAGCTGTGGTATTGTTGTGTGGGACTCTGTCTTCTAAATGGCCCCTGGAAAGCCATACAAGTCTTTATTTGGGCAGGAACTAATCCTTAGAAAATGAATGAGTATGAAAAATGGAGCTTCTCCACAACAGTGTGTTTTGTTGGTGCAGTTATGAAATGGTCTCTCACTCACCTTTAACCCACTGAGTCTATTAGGGATCCTCCTGCCACAGCACACGGTGGGGTCAGTGTAGAAGCACTCTGCAGGCGTGATGGGGTGAGCTGGGGAGAAATCAGAGAGTCCTCTCAGAGGTTGAACAGCTGGATGAAGCTCCCCTTGAGCCGGTTTAGGTAAAAGTGACTCACCTGTTTGAGCGTTTTCCTGACTGTGGCGTGGGAGGCCTGCGGCCCTGTACAGCGGCAGGAAGGAGGGGTGGTACAGGGTCCTGTTGGACAGAGGGGGCAGGACCGTCTTCCTCGGTGTCTGATGGAGGACAGACGATGAAATCACCACCGCTGACCCGCAGGACCTGCGCATGCAGTCCAAGTGAGCTAAAGAGTGATGTCACAGAACACTCACCGATAAATGCTCCTCGCTGTTCATGGTGGTTCAGCTGTGTCGCTCGAGAGGTAAGGGTAGCATCTAACTACTAACTACTCATAAACTTAACTTGTTTATGCGGCGTTAAAAGAAGTCGGGGTAGCGACACCTGCTGACTGACGTATGAAACGCAGTGTGACTGCATATATGTATTTCCGGTCATGCTCTTAATATTTGTAAAAAGTAAAATTAAAATTAAAAAAGGATCCGGAGAAAAAAGTCAATGTCTCTAATAAAGTGTTTAAATTCACATTTTTAATCAAATAGTATAAGAAACCATGCAGTGCATGACTTACAGCAATTAATCAGGCCGACATCCTCTTAGATAGTTTACAGAGTAACAAAACATGTCGTTTTTTTTTTTTGCGCAATATAAACGCATGAGTCGCTTTATTAGGTTCACACATGAACCACCCCATGTTGTGTAGCTTCCTGGATTTTATACTTATTGGGCTACATACTTCTTTATTATGCAGGCTATACAGTGCATAAATCAAAATTCACATGTTTTATGTAACTGAAATGTTTAATTATCTGGGCTAAAGAAAAATAAAGTTATAGACTATTTCTATGAAACGTGTATACTTATTGCATTTGGTATATTTTAACACACACACACACACACACACACACATATATACATAGCATATTACAGGGATGTAACACCAGCATGTGTAAAAACATGGCTTTGATTTTGCTACCCCATTTGATTTCTATGCTATGTTTGGGAAAATTTCTCTAGATCCGCACCTGTGCACCCCATCTGCTTCAAGGTTGGACTTGTGCATTTAGAGACACTCTTCTACATACCTTGGTTGTAACTGATGGTTACTAGAATTATTGATGCCTTCTTATCAGCTTGAAGCAGTCCGACCTCTCTCCTCTGACACTTTCAGCAAGAGAATCCTGCTTCTACCTGAATTCTCTTTAATAGCAGTCTCTTAAACCCTACTGATAGTTGTGATACAATCCCAATAAATCAGCAGTTTCTGAAACAGACCAGCACCATGCCATGTTCAAATGAATTTAAATCACCGGTCCTCATTCTGTTGCTCAGTTTAAACTTCAGCAGGTCATGCTGACCTTGTTTACATGTCCAAATGCTTTCATGTGACTGGCTGACTGAGGTACACTTCTCGCTGAAGTGTACTAGTCTGTAAGTTCACTACCTGTGCATTCTACCCTTTCCCAAGCTTCTCACTCTTTAATATATTTAGACCAAGATACAAGTTTTCCTGAATATTTAGGGGGGAAAAAAATAAAGAAAATTAAATGTTGGAGAGCCATAATTATTCATTTCTACCCCTTTTTTATGACCATAGTTCCTTACAATGAAATGTCGACAATCTCTAATATCCTGTGTCAGAAACAGTCAAAAATGATGCAAAGTACAGTGTAATAAAGCTTTACAAGACAAATAATTTCAAAGTCAGCTTTAATGCAGTTTTGTCCCATTTAAAATACAACTTCGTGACTTTTTAAGCTCCTGAAAGGGGATCACCAAAAAGTGATATTTATCAGTTAGCCACCTGCAAGATTGAGAACCCTAGAAACGCTGAAGTATCGAGCAGATGGACGAACACCAGGTACAAACACAACAGGTTGTGT